ATAGCGAAACAGCAGTTTCCAGATTTTCACCTTGAGGACAAGGTGATTCTTTGGGAGGGCGGTAATGTTAGACCGGCCCAGGATGGGCCGGTTGGACCGGTCCAGCAGGGACCGGTCCGCGTCTACGCGAGACGCACGCGAGAGAGCCGCCTGGGCGGAAACGGCTCTGCCGTGAGCCGTGGAGTTTAGGAGGGAAATTTTGAACGTTTTAGGAAGTTTATGATTGTCCTTTATGATTAATTTTGTATAATTAGGAGTTTGGGGGGGAATTAGCTCCGCATCTTGAATTTGAGTTTTCTCTTTGAGATCTAGGTTTTGTTTTGGGCTCTTGGCTTCGCCGGAGACTTTGGAGAGTACGTTCTTCCTCTCGAATCGAAGAACAAATTGTATCTTTGCTATTTTCATCATCTACTAGTAAAATACCGGTGTTTTCTCCTAGTCTCCAGCAGTTTTCCTCGTTTTTTCTACTGTTTTGGGCTGATTTCCTGCTGTGGACAGCAGCTCGCCTTGAGATTTGTTGCTAAAGTGATTAGGGAATACTTGAAATCAAGTATTTCCTATCATCATACTACATAAATAACAAAATAAATAAAATAGAGAAAGGTGGTTTTGGAAGAAGTTCAAAGATACCTCCATGATTTGTCAAGCAATCGAGTTTGCTCACGTTGCAGGTCATCACAAAGAATGGTAGTTTTGGTTTTAGGACCAGTCTCACATCGACATGGTTGAAAAAAAAGTTTTAGATATACTGGTGATTGCTACTCAATTGTTGGCTTAAGCTATTTGATTAAAAATAAATCTCTCTACTGCATGCCAAGACTTATAGTTGTATCCCCACAACTTGACACCCACCTAGTGATTCAAAATCCTCTAGGAGCAGCACAATATCCGGGGTTTTACTAGGCCCTTCACAAATGCAATTTCTCGGTTTCATAGTCTCTGGTTAGCTTTCACAATATTAGGCAAGTTCAACCAACTCCCAAGTTGGAACCTTAGTGAGTAAACTAAACTCTTTGGTGTCTCTTGTATATGAACTTGCTTGACACAAAAAATATCTAGAATAAGGGGCCCTGGTGGATGAAGTGGATAACTCACATATAACATGGAGATATGCTCAGGAGTATGATAATTTTGGGTTTACAAAATATGTTTTAGATATATTAACTAGTGTCAATCATCTAGTCAATAATCTATTATCTTAAGATTTGGTGTTGAAGACACTCCCTGATGTAGAGAGGCCGACTTGCACCCAATATGATTCACACTCTAGCACAAGTTTTGGAAAAAGCTTCTAAAGGATATCAAAATGACCAACAACAACAAGTCTTTATCCCACTATATGTGGTCGGCCACATGAATCCTTTTTCTCCATTGTGTCATGTTAAGGATCAAATTCTCATCTAAATCTAATAAAGAAAGGTCATTTCTAATATTTTCTAACTATGTCTCTTTAGGTCTACCTCTACCTTTCTTAACATAAGTCAAATTTAATACATCTACCTTCCTAACCGGGTCATCAGAAGGCGGCAGTTTTATATGACCAAACCATCTAAGGCGATTCTCTCTAATCTTATCTTCCACTGGAGCTACTCCAACCTTTTCACGTATATGCTCATTTCGTATTCAGTCTTTAAGAGTAAAGTCACTCATCCACCTGAGCATCCTCAACTCTGCAACACTTAACTTAATATTATGCTTCTCTTTTGATGGACAACATTCTGCACCATAAAGCATTGCAGGTCTCACCACCATCTTATAGAATTTTCCCTTAAGTTTGAGAGTGACTTTTCTATCACATAACAAGCCTAATGCATTCCTCCACTTCAACCATCCAACTTGAAGTTTACTAATAATATCCCCATCTATTTCACCATCACTCTGAACAATAGACCCAAGATATCTAAAACATGTGCTATTAATGACTTGATTGCCCAAAGTCACAATCCCCCCACTAGATCTATTATTACTAAAATTACACTTCATATATTCAGTTTTAGATCTACTCAAACAAAAGCCTTTAGACTCTAAGGTTGACCTCCATAATTCAAGTTTACCTTCAACTCCCTCTCTAGTTTATCAACAAGAAGAATATCATCAGCAAAAATCATACACGAGGATATAGCCTCTTGCGAATGTCTAACCAAACATCCACGACTAAAGCAAAAAGATATGGGCTTAAGGTTGATCCTTGATGTAATCCAACTGAAAGGATACCAAAACAACCCTTCAAATTTAATTCAGCTCCAGCTTAATCCAAATCTTTACTCCTAATTTAGGCACCATGGCATCTGTTGAGAATTTTATGAGATTAAATAAAATTATATTTTCCCCTTTTGCTTTGACTAGATATCAGAAGAAAAAAATTTAATATCATCGCCTCATTAACGAGGGGCAGTAGTTAATCACTGAAATGTATAAATAATAGTAGCTCACTTGACAAAATAGAACAACAGAAATTTAACCAATTAAAGGAGAATCTACTTTTTACTGGGCAACAGATATCAGTTACACTTGCTTTCCCCCGAAAAAATCATGCAGTCCATTCACGAAAGAGGTTAAAATACCTACCAATGGTATGAGAAAAAGTGCCAGTTAACAAGCCAACACAGCAAGAAGCAGGACTTGAGGGAACACGTCGGTTAAAAAAAAAAGTGATAGAATTAAGAAGTGGAAGGTAAAATTAATTTATAAAGTATAAACACTAAAGGGCCTAGTAAAATAACTCGTGAAACCTTGAAGTGTCTCCTTTGAGAAAACCAAATGTAACTATCCATTAACATGGCCACCATTACCATCCGTTGCATGCAAAAGAGTAAAGCAAGTCTGAACATCAAATTCATAGAAAGCTACATCTGTTTTATTACAGTAAGAGGAAGAGGGTACACGACCACGAGAGCAAATGTTCCAACTTAGTGGTATCTAGGATCAATTTATCACCTGTCACGTAGAAGCTTGTCCCATTCATTTTGCTCTGCGACAGTGTTTGTATTATCTTCCTTAGTCTCATATGGCTCACAACCATCACCAGCAAGATCAGCTGTCATCACAGTTCCACCAGGTTCTCCATTTAGCTGCTCATCGCTCCAATCCAAAGACTAGAAAAATAATAAATAGCCCATATTAAAGAAGAAAAACAATAATTGATGTGTTCTGATCATAAAAAAAATATGCACCAATAGCTGAATAACAAAGACAGCGGACATAGTAATAAATTCAAAGATTGCGAGCAAACCATTATCTGATTCCAGGAACTTCAAATTTGACTAATCAAGAAAATCGAGTAAGGAACTTCCTGGCAATTCCAAGCAAAGGGAAAAAAAGCTAGAAGTTAATGCAAAAAAAAAATAAAAAACAATTTGACTTTACAGTATTCCCGTTTGAATTTGGATTTAATTCTCCCATCATTCTTAATTTGCATCTTTTATACGTTTTACTTCTTATAAGTGAAAATAAAATTATCATTTTCTAAAACAAATTCAGGTCAAATTTGAGAATTTGCTATAGTTGTTAAGTTTTTTCCAGATCTGTTGTAAGAATTGTTCTCTATAATTATTTTCCCTTGGATACCCCACATTAAACAATGTCAGTTCATTTCAACTATTGCCATTAATTTTGAGTCCCACTAATATCTATGTTTCTATACAAATCCGATATACAGGAATGGTAAACCATTTGTTAACTTCGGTTTCATTCCTTGATATTAATAATAATCAACTCATTTACCTCTCCCCTGTTTGGAATGGACTGCTCCCTTAATAAATATAATGTAGCTATATGTGAAAAAAAACACTGCCTCAAGAGGTAATATCCCCTAAAATTCAAATCTAATAAAAATTTAGGTTATGAAGATATCAAAATAAAACAAAAAAGTAATTATTTGGTTTCAAAATCCATTAGAGGACTTGATTTGTTGGTAGCAGATAATCCAGTTACGAGATGAATAGCTTTAAAAACTATTTGCCCATATTTAATATTGTATTCGTTGACTTTATTCCATTGTGGCCTGGCGATCACAATTTTGAATCAAAGTATCAGCCTCTATAATATGCATGTGTGGCTGCATTTATCAATCACTCCCAGAAATTACAATTGAGCGAGTCATGTGTACTAAAATATCTAGTTGTAATCTCCAATCTTTCCAACTGAAAACAAATCAGATTTCAGCATTTCAATAGCACAAACTAACCCCTAATTGCTGCTTCACATTTTAATTGCACAAAACAATAGATTTGCACCTATACATACAAACGTAATGTATTTTACAATTTACATCTCCTAGCATAGAACGAGAATCTGAACTGATGCAACAATATATAAACAAGCATAATGCATTTTTCAAGATGCATAAGATGGTAGAGGAATTTCTATTTAATTTAAGATAATGCAAGAATGAACTAGGCACAGACATGAACCTTAAGCGAACAAATCTTATAATGGTGATAAAAATAAAAAATCAAGCGCATCTTTTAAAATATCAAACCAACCCAGGTCTCAAAATATTGCAGCCCTGGACCACATCAAAGGAATTATGAATTATATCCACAAAGGCCATAAAAGTACAGAACAATATCAATGCCAAAGTCTGAATATGAGGAAAAAAATGCATGCTACTTTTAAGGCATTGAAGAAAGAATGATGAATTGCTTTAGTTCATCAGCAGAAGCTGAGACATTTTAGAATGTAGTTTCAAACACCAACTGATACATATCAAGCTAACGGTCAAAGAAGTACTATTAAAATTACCGTTGTAGATCCTACGAAGACCTAAAGAGGTTACCCAACTTTGGGCCCACGAGGACCTAAAGAGGCCTATTAATAAAAGCCTAGTTGGATTATCAAGTGTTAATCTCCTCCAAGTAATTAATTAGTGCTTTAATAAAATTATTTTAGATTTTCTTATATTATTTCTGCATTCTGAGAGTTTGGAAGGATTTTATGTAAATTATAACAAAATTGCCTATTTAAAGGCCATGGGATTGAGGGTTAGACAGATTTTGGCTGATCAATTAAGTAGATACTTTCTTAAGTAATGTTGCCCTCTGGGCCCCCTCTTGGAGTCTCCAAGAATTCTCTCCTCCTCCCTCCAAATTCTTCGGGCTGCCGATTCTGTTCTTGAAGAATCCAAGAACCGATCCTCCCTCCTCCAGTTTTCAACCACTAGTTCCTCTCTTGGAGCCTCGAAGCGCCAGTCCTTCTCTACCAAACAGCCAGGTAAACGCCAACAAGTTCTGCCATAGAGTCTGCAGGGTCTAATCCTTCTCTTTCTTCCCCTTGTTGCTGTACACGGTTTCGCTGTCCACGGTAATAGTCGGCTGCTAGGTTCGGCCAGCCTGCCTCCCTGCTCATTTCTACTGCAAGAACAGCCACCCAAACCTTCAAGAACAACCACACTGTTCTTTTTTCTTCCCAAAATTCTTTCTCTAATATGTCTAAGGCCTCGTCTTCTCAGTCCAGGCCTTCAAGAACAACAACATTATGTTAGACCGATCCATGATGGACTGGTCCAGCCGGCCCTTGGCAAGGGGCAGGCCTAAGTTTACAAGAGGCGAACCAAGCAGGTCCGCCCTCTTGGAATTCTCGCCCAAAGCTTGGGTGGGGCCCACTAGGGAATTCAATTAGGAATGAGGGGGCGGCTAGGGCTAGGGAGGATTTTGGCTTATGTGGTTTAATTGTAAGCTTTAATTGTGGTTGGAGTTCGACGTTTTGGGTTCTAGCAGCGTCTAAGGATTGGGAGAGATAGATCCTCCTCTCGAATTGAGGATCGACTATATCTTGGTATTTTCCTTCTATTATCTTTGATTATTGCAATAAAATTATAGTTTTTCTAGTTCCCTTGGAGTTTGGAGGAGATTTCTTGCTGCTTTTTGCAAAGATTGATATGGTTTATTCGAGATCTTCAAGTGTTTCCTATCAAATTGATATCATAGCAGATTTTGGGAATATTTTTGGGCTATTTTTGTGAAATTGCAGGAAGATGGGCGTTTTGCTATTTTTAGGGACAAGATCCATATTTTTTTAGTCTACAAAAATCCGGTTATTGATGGAGGCCAAGAAAGTGGATGCGTTGGAAGAACGCTTTGAAGGATAAATGAGCCAAATGACTGAATGACAGCAACGGTGGAGGATCGAATATCTTCCATGGAAGACAAAGTTTTCGATCTTTATGAGATGGAGAAGAAGATTTTGGAACATCAAAATCAATCGGCAGCATCGAAGGCAAGAGGACCAATAGGGAGAAATACAAATTTTGAAATTCATAGGAGTGAAAATGATGTGGAGATCATAGAGGAGAGAGGTGGAAGGTATGGAGAGAGGCGTGGTTATGGAGGCCATGAACCAAGGGGGGTGATTGGAAAGGAAAAGAGGGAGATTATGGTTGGAGGGGTGTCGATTTTGAAAGGAGGGGAGAAAGTGAATACGAGTATGGATATGAGCATGGAAGGGAGGATCGGGAAACTTGAGGAGGATTGAACGCTTGGGGAAGGGGAAATTATAGAGGAATAAGAGGAAATGGGGGAGATCCCAAGCTTGATAGTCCTAAAGATGCCCATATTTGAAGGGGAGAATACACGTGGATGGATCTACAAGAAAGAGATAAATTTCGTCGTCAATGGGTTGATAGTCGTTGACTTATGTTTAGAAAGGAAGGCATTGGCTTGGTACCAGTGGAGAGACATGAGGAGGCCCATACAAAGTTAGAGGGAGTTCAAGGAATGCTTATTAGAATATTTCCAAAGTGGCAATGGAGGGGACTTCTATGAACAATTCTCTGCACTTGTGCATGAGGGTTTAGTGGCAAATTATCGTGAGAGGTCTGAGTACTTGGCGAGTCGATTGGACCGACTATCAGAGACTATTGAGGGGAATTTCATGAAGGGACTCAAATCAGAGATCCGGGCAATAGTGAGGGTCATGAGGCCTCATGACTTGGGAGAGGCTATGGAGTTGGCACAACTAGTGAAGGATCAGAAATACCATGAGAGGGGAGCCAGAGGCAGCAATTCTTATGGCTCTTACCAGATGACCACCACTCTCTTAGTACCCAAAGGGCCTGCATCGGGCAACATTCGTGAGACCCAAAGGGAGAGGCCAGTAAGAGGAGGAAGTTGGGTGAACTTCAAAAGACTAATGGAGAGGGAGATGCAGGAGAAGAGGGTGAATGGGCTATACTTCAGATGTGAAGAGAAATATACTCCAGGGTATAGGTGCAGGGATCGAACTCTTCAGATTCTCTCTGTCTGTGATAACGAATAAGCTGAGGGAGGTGAGAGTGAGATAGGGGGTGAGGAGGAGGACAAGCTGTATTTTGATGTGGCAGAGGTCTCCCTGAACTCAGTGGTAGGATTTACTCTGAGTCATACCATGAAGGTGAATGGAGAAATAGCAAACAGGGAGGTAGTGGTGTTGTTTGACAGTAGGGTTACCTACAATTCCATCTCCAACCAGGTCGTGGACCTATTGGGGGTGACATTAGTAGATACAGGGGGTGTTATGGAGGGATGATGGATACAAGGAAGGTGGAGACGGGCCAGGGGATATGTAGGGGAGTAGTGTTGATCATAAAGGGGGTTCAGGTGAGAGAGAATTTTCTCCCATTGAAGTTAGGAAGCACTGATGTCATCTTGAAAATAAAGTGCCTGTAGACCTTGGGAGACACAAAGGTCAACTAGGGGGCATTGATGATGGAGCTGCTGGTGGAAGGGAGAAGGTTAGTGATCAGGGGAGATGCAGTGCTCTCCTATTCTACCCAAAAATCAATTCCAAAGGCTGTCTACAACCTTCTTCTCAGCCTGAATTTCAAGAATAGCAGTTGACCACCTATTGTAGCTATTTTCTTTTTTCAGCCACATTAACCACTGGATTGCAACCACTATTTTCAAGAAACCTAACAAAGTTGTAGTTCTCAGGTAAACCGCTCTAACCTAGGGGGATTTTAGTTCAGAGGTTTTTGTTTTAAGCTGGGATCTCCATTTGCCCTAAACTACGAGTAAGATTGTATCACCAACATTCAAAATAAATCTACATAACAAAACCATAAAACAAATAAATAAAACAAGGTAAAATAATAAAACTTGTAAAAAAAAATTTAGTTAATAGAAACCGAATTTTTTTAGAAGAACATCATTAAAATCCTCAACATTCCATTCATGAAAATTTTGAAAGCTATGGCGTCAACTTTTACAACTACTTATTCAAATAATTATATTAATAGTTTTGGAATTAAAAAGCTGAAAAGAAGTCCCAAGTAAATTAAATGCACCTTAAGAAAAACACAGCTTATGACCATAAAATGGATATTATAAAACAATGTATTGCAATTAGATGAATGAAGAATGTCCAGAAAGAATGAAACAGGCAATAACTGTAAAGCTGAACTTAAAGCTCACTTTTACTGAACCAAGCATGTCACCATCCAAATCACCATCAGTGTTCTCTGATACATTTGTTTGAAGGTCAGAACGATCTAGCAATTTTAATATTGCACTTTCATCCCATGCAATTTTCATGCCACCATCAGTACACCTGTCCTTGTAAACATCTCCCAAGCCACCAATTCTTCTTCTATGCTTGTGCTCTAAATTTGTATTAGTATCAACTTTGCTAATAGAATTCTCTCTTGAATCTTGACCAATTGCACCATCAAAATCACCAAAAAGCTCCTCTGTTCCCCACCGAAGAATGTCTTCCACTTCCTTTTGAGATCCTGACTTGTTCACAAATAGTTGATCAAGCATCAATTTCTTCTTAGCAAGCTGCAGAATTCTTTCCTCAACACTAGCTCGAACTACAAGCCTGTACACAAGTAGCCTGTTTGACTGCCCAATTCTATGTGCTCTATTCATTGCCTGTATATCAGCATGCGGATTAAAATCAGAATCATATATAATAACAGTATCTGCAGTAGCCAAATTTATCCCAAGTCCACAAGAACGTGTTGACAGTAAGAAGACAAAACGAGTTTTATCTTTATTGAACCGAGATATTGCTGCTTGACGATCTGTCACTGATACAGACCCATCAACTCTTTCAAATGTTCCATGACCAAATTCTACAGTTAGGTAGTCCTCAAGTATATCAAGAAGTTTGGTCATCTGTGAAAAAATAAGCACACGATGGCCATCCTTACGTAGAATTTTGAGCATAGAGTGCAACAAAGTAAGTTTTGCTGATGCTTTTATGCGCATCTCCTGTAGGAATTCCACAGAACCAGTTTCAGGTTCGGTTCCAGGAATGAGATATGGATGATTGCAAACCTTGCGTAGTTGCATGACAATGTTCAGCATTGACTGCTGAGCAACCCCTTTGCCAATATTACGCAATATTTGATAATTCTTGGTAAGCATTGCACGGTAGTACTCGGCCTGTATGGATGTCAACTCAACAGGAACAATCCTCTCAGTTTTAGGAGGGATGTTCAGCATGGCATCTTTTTTAAGCCTCCGAAGCATATGAGGTGCTACAAGCTTTTTCAACTCTTCTACTTTTTCAGCTGTCGGAAGGTCATTGAACTTCTCTTCAAAAGCAGAGAGAGAGGGGAATGAGGCAGGCTGTAAGAAGCTCAGTAAATTATACATTTCGCCAATGTTATTCTGTAAAGGAGTTCCAGTCAATAGAACACGTTGTTGGAAAGAGAATGAATTGAGCAAGTTAAAAAGTTTACTTCCAGAATTTTTCAGCCGATGGCCTTCATCAACAACAAGAAGTTCCCATGGAACTCCACGTAGATGAAACGAGTCAGCAAGAATCATCTCATAAGTGGTCAGCAAAACATTAAATTTGTATGATTTAGTCTTCTTATGTGACCCATCTGAAGCGATAGCATGCCACTCATGCAGTCTTATTATGGATCTTGCTTTTGCACAGCCATGATACTCCACAACATTCAAATGAGGAGTCCATGATGCAAATTCTGCTAGCCAATTTGGCATTGTGGAGAGCGGAACTAAGACAAGGCAAGGTGACTTAACCTTAAATTCAAAATACAAGGATGAAATGAAAGAGCAAGCAGACACTGTTTTGCCAAGTCCCATTTCATCAGCAAGTATAACATTTTTCGACTTGTGCCAACATTTGCGAAGCCAGTTTAAAGCTTCTAACTGATGTGGAAATAATAATCCTCCTTTAAGCTCTTTTGGCTGCTCTGTCAAGGAAATTACTTCTTGGATTTTTCTTTTAGCAATATCATTTCTAGCATCATTGTCCAAAGCCTGGCTTTCAAACTGTTTGAATTCCGAAATAAGATAACAAAAATTTTGAACTACATTGTCTTCTAACTTTTCCCAGGTGCACTCATCGTAAGGGAGGCCACTCCATTTAACTAAGGCTTCACGTCCAGCATCAGATTCATGTAAAGAAATAATACGCTGTGGCTGACACCATTGATCTTCACATATATTTATGATAGCAGTTCCATACTTAGCTTTATAATTCTCCAATTTTCTCTTAGCTAAAAGTTTCAACTGGTTTTCAGAAACCCAACTGTTGTGTATGTTTGATTTACCTACCCACTTAACAAAAAATTCATAAATAACAGCATCATTTTTCTCAAGCCTCAAGTCGGGTACTGGCTGGTTCAGCATAACATTTTCAACACAGTAATCGGATTTAGAACCTGTGCTCATTAAATGGATATCTTGTGGCTCACAAGTGACAGGGAAGTCAGAGACTGGAGTGTGATGATCATTGTTACTTTCTGAATAAAGATATTTCACAGCTATGCTCCCTTCCAAACCATCCTTACCAACTCTTGTTTCAATTAGATCACCAGCAACAGGGACCCCAGGAAGGTCAAACACTTCGCTAGTCATACAATTAGTCATGGGAGATTGTGAAACTGACGACCCAATGCTTTTGGCCTTACCCATGTGTTCACCAGTCTCAAATGGTTTTCCCTTAACATCTCCATTTGCCTCATCAGAGACATCGCCCGCAATTTTTCCAGTAATAGAATTTGCAACACCTTGATGACTCTTATCCAGGGTAAAATTTGAATTCTTCTTGTCCAGGACTCTACTGTCATCACAGCCTTCATCAGGTTGGTCTTGATTTTCTTCACGAGATAAATCAGAAGATGGTAATTTACTTTCCAGCCTGCCTGCCTTGTTTTCTGTTTGAGAAGTGGTAATTCCATTTGTTTTATCAACATGCGAAGACCAACTTTGAATACGACACCCTAAAATGCGGTCAACCTTTTGAAACAAAAGAAAGAATGTAAATTTACAGCACTCATAATAGACGAAAAAATGCAAGTATATTTAAATTAACATCCTTCAATTTAAGAAATTATTTGCGTAAGAAAGTAAGATAGGAATAAACAATAAAATTTGTGCTGATTTACTTGTTGAACTTCACCAGATAAATTCTCATTAAAATTCATTTCATTCTCAACCCTTCCTCCAAATCCATCGTCAAGAGATATAGAGGATGCTACAAGAGGAGATGTCTGCACAATTAGCACAAACAAACAATTACATATATTAGCATCATAAGAAAAAATAGCTACATAAATTAACAAGAAACTTCTCAAATCAGCAGTGAACATAATCCCAATAATGTCCCGATATCATAAATGCAATTGTCTATATTTTTCCAATGTCATATAAAATTATTTTCATACCTAGTTGAAACAATAGCTAAAGATCAGAAGAAATTGTAAATTCCAGGCATTGGATTCATTCAAGACCTCCCACTGAGGGGAAGAGGGGTAGAGAGGGAAATAACTAGGACAATTCAAGACAAAGAAACTGAGAAATAAAGAATTAATGGAGATTATAAGATACGAACTGCTCACTAGAATAGTATAAGTTGCGGGGTGAAAGCTACCTCCAGTTGTTTTTTGCTTGGAAACCTCAGCTGTCTTGTTTCATGCTTTGTGTCATTGGAGTCATTCAATTCAGGGCAAAGAGAACCATCCTCATAAATGTCATTGGAAATATATTCAGCATGTTTAACATTATTAGATTTCGCTCTCTTATTATTGTCAATCCTGTGATTTTTTTTTCTATTTTTCTTTGATATCTGAGAAGATAGAGCAGCTGGATGGTCAAGCTTATTGTCCTGATTTTCATTTTTGTATTCATCAGGTCTCTCTTCGGACAACTTGTCACTGACATTGAACTTTGACGATTTTACAAGAGAACGAATTGACTTTTGTTCACTTCTATTCCTTCGTGTAAGAGAGAGAACATTTTTCTTTGTTTGACTATCTTCTATTGTTGATATCCCGACCATCAAATTACTTTCACCAGAAGGCTTTGATTTTATGCTAGATGAATTAGTGCGGCAGGAACTCGCTTTCTTCGTAAAAGCTGTGCTTCCATTAGAAAAAGCATCTTCCCCTTTGCTGGTTGATTTATTCATATTTAGAGAAGTCTTCTTGGAATGTGATGCCTTACCATGACTAGAGATACCATTCATATCCTTTGCTTTCTGAATTGTGCTTTTACTCCTTGCACGCCTTGAACTGCTTTGTATGGTCATCAATGTTGTATCCTCTGTTTGCGAACAACACTTTCGGCATTGCCACTTCCCTGTCGGAGCATGCTTACAGAAATAAAAAACACCAAAAGAGAAAAATCAGCACTAAAAAGACAAAAGAATAAATCAAATAATTCAATATAATCATTAAGGAAGGCAAAAAGATAAATGCATAGAACAAAACCTTCAGGGGTGGACTAAGACAAGCGAGATGGTATGTCCGAGGACAGCTATCACAGCATAGCAAATTTCCACCAACTGCGCATTCTTCACACTCAAAATAATACTGCAAAAAGGAAAGAGATAAGGTTCAAGGACATAAAGAGATCACACAAAGGAAGCACTACGGATGTCTCATATTTAGCCAAAATACCGGAAAAATCTACAGCTATTGTTTGATTATGCACCAAATGCAAAAACAGCAGTAGGAACTGGTTAAAGAAAATCATTCTTGGGTGTTAACTTTCAGTAAAACTCTGACTGAATAGTTTCATAACAATACCATGACAAAATTATTAAATCAAATCATAAAAATGAACCCAGAAAGCTTAAGGTCAAGTTTTCAATTTTGTTTTCTCTAAGAAAATAAAGCAAACGGTAAACAAGACATTTCGCTTTATCCTAAATAACATTAACAACCAGGGGACAACGCTAGTTACATATTGACCTTGTGTATAATAACTTTGAACAAATTATCTACCTCTAGCTTTCTTAACATGGGCCAAATCTAATACATCTATTCTCCTAATAGGGTCATCAGAAGGCCGCCGTTTTACATGACTAAACCATCTAAGATGACTCTCTCTAATCTTATTCGTCATTGGAGCTACTCCAACCTTTCCACGGATATGCTTGCTTCGTATCCTATCTCTAAGAGTAAATCCACTCATCCACCTGAGCATACTCATCTCAGCAACACTTAACTTAATATTATACTTCTCTTTTAAAGGCCAACATTCAGAACCATAAAGCATTGCAGGTCCCACCACCATCTTATAAAATCTTACCTTTGGTACTTTCTATCACACAACAAACCCGAAACATTCCTCCACTTCAACCATCCAACTTGAATTCTACTAATAATATCCCCATCTATTTCACCATCACTCTGATAAAGCATGGGTCTACTTGCAAGGACAAAAATATTGTCACTCATCCACTCTCATAGGACTTCCTCTCTCAATCACTCTCAATTCCAATGTGAAGCAATATGAGTATCCCTTGAATATTCATATTTGCTCGCTCGATTAACCACATGTTTCTAGAGTGCCCAACCCAATGAGAAAAGGAATAAAATATGGCATATGCTATATGATGTATTTCTTAATATAAATTTTCAAAAACTACTAGTATAAAATTTGGCTTTAAACAGTACTTAACATGCTTTAGTTGATAATGTAGTCACACTAGCCATGGAAAAAGAAGGAAAACCAGTTGATAATAACTACATTTTCATTTGGCCAGCATTTTTTATTTATCAAACATGATGAAAGGTGAAACAATATTAAGAGTTTTCTGATTCATTGGAACAAGCAACTTGGTTTTTGCTACAGTGGAGCAATAAACCTTTTTTTTCCTTACATGGTTCACTGTGTGCTTTGTTCTGAGAAAATAGTAACAATTGAAGTTGAAATGATGGTTTGAATAAAGATTACCAAGGCTAATAATTGAATGTTGCATAAGATACTTAGAAGATAAAGTATACCATATGCATAAATAGAAAGTAGAAAGAGCACAACAAACAAGATGGAGCTTACTCCATCATTCCCTTTTAACTTGGAGGAAGCATCATGGCCTTCCTTCAATTTTTTTCTAAGAGAAGAGTTGCTCTTTTCAGACTCTGCAAGTATTGTAGCTTCCTGCTTCCTATTACTTTCATCCAAACCAGATAATTTACGTTTCCTCTTGCGCATTGGGGCCCAATTCTTGTCTATCATCTTATCATCTAATGAACTTTCTTCCTTCATGTTAGACACGTCAGTGCTGCCTGCATCACTAGCATTTTGGACAAGGCATGCCCATATTAATCAACTACGACAAAACGTCAGCAACTCAGCAAGAAGAATCCCAAATCTGCAAGATGAATCACTTGAGCAATATATGCTGCCCTCAACATGGACTAACGTCTATAATTAAAACAAAATTGAGTTAAACTACACAAGAAAAACTAGTATGACAAAATTTATCTTCAGAATCATGTCAAAAAGTTCAGCAATAAAAATCTTATACATCAAGAACCACGAACGAAGGAGCGTGTAATCAATCACATAAACAAGCATAAAAAACCACCATCCTGCACTAGTAATACCTTCCCCCCTCCCATGCCAATTAATAGCCCCAACTCCAAATTCCTCCCACACTGCTTACTTCTACCCTTAACATGGACTTACCATCTACAATTAAAAAGAAAAAAAAAGGAAATGGAAACGGAAGATGAACAAGCCAATGAGAGTTTAACCGCACAGACCAAAACCTGTAAAATAAACGCAAAGAAGAAAAAATACATGACAAAAAGTTTAGTCATAAACATGCTATGAAAAAAGAAACTGTAATAATAGAGTAATTAATCCTTTACAAAAGCAATCGTCAAACAGCACCAGCCCTCAGTAGCCAAAGCCTCCTTACAACAACCAACTCCCCTCAAGGAATTAAACCTTCAAAATCCAAACCAATTTATACTCCAACTACAAATCTTCCGCCAAAAACAGACATCCGAAAGCAGAAATCCATCTAATTAACGCGGGAAACTGGAAACAGGAAGGGGTTTTGATGCGCATAGGGAAAACCCCAAAGGCCGGCCCCGTAAGTCAAAATTAAGCAAAGAAACTGAACGGATAGCACGAAACCTGAGGCCAGGAGAGCGTCAAGGCCGGATATTGGACGCGATTCGATCGCGGAGGCGAGATCTCTTCTTCTCCCTTGTCGCTGATCGCAAGCGGCTCTTTAGGCGGAGAAGGAGAAGGAATAGCATCTTTTGCCCTGTCTCGGTATTGAAAAGGGAGTATAGAGATGAGAGAGAGAGAGAGAGAGACGCTGGGCGTGAGAGCGCGACCCGGCACTTCACCAGGTGCGGCGCCAATCACGGGACGCCACGTGGTGGGGGCAGGCAGGAGTCCTCCCTCGTCTCGCGGTCGTTGTCTCTCCTCTCTTTTCCTGCTGGCCGTGACGGAGATGGCTTCGAGCGCCGCCGGCTATTCCTCGACGGCGGCGACGATTCCGACTGATTCGAATCGGAATCGTGGGCAGATCGAAATACCATTTCCGTTTATTTTTTTTTACTTTTTTTCGAGTGAAAATAGAGCGATTGATAAAATCTCGTTGAAGAGAAGGAATGTAGGATGATTCCTTTTGTTGCTTCGTTGTGGGCTTTCACGTGAGTTTTCCCCCCTTTTTTCCTTTTTTTTTTTTTTTCTTTGGTTTTTTCAAGTTGAATGCTTTCACCGCCGTTTTAAAAATAAGCGGAATTTCAGGATTTGGTATATGAGATGCTTGACTTTTAAAATTACTTAACATTTAAATAAATATTAAAAAATTTTTTATGGCTCCATTAATAGCGCCAACCCTCCAAACGTTAAAACCTAAATTTAACAAAAATAGAGAAACATTAAAATTAAAGAGAAGATTTACACACACAATCCTTAAAAACAATCACATTTATATATCTGATATCTAAATCTAAACTATGTTACTATGTCGATAATGTTATTTCCTGTATCTCTAAAAAATCACGAAGAATAAGAAGAGAAAGTTTTCCAGTAATATCAATGAGGATATGACGGCATCGATGAGATCAATGACATGTAAAAATTGAGGAAGTCCTCGATGATAGAAGAAGTCAGGAACTTGTGAGATTAATTATTCTGTACGAATGTTGAATGTCGTCCGGAGGTCAATTAGAAAGCGCATGTCACCCCTTCGCTCGTTATCGCAGCTCGATATCGTTAATGTGGTGCATTCTGATTGGTCTCTATGCGGCATTTTGCGTTCGGTCTCCGCACATAACAATTTCTCAAGTTGTGATGGGTTCTTGCTAGGAAAGGACATTCATGAAACGCATGGTGTGTGTGAACTTAGAGGAAGAAAAGATAAGGAAGCCAGAATGAGATCTCGTTGAAAAGTATATTGATGAAATCAAAAGGATGTGTATCAAAGGAAAGGTGATGCAGAGATTAAAGAATATGAAATTTTTTTATCATTTAAATAGTTTAGGATTATGTGAATGAATATATAGTTTTTTTATTATGTATATAATAATAATAATAATAATAACTTTTAAGAGTAATGTATATAAATTTCCAAATTAAAAATTGGGAAATATAATATTTAAAGAAATAACATATAAAACTAACATATTACTCTTCAAGACATGCAATTATTAAAAGAAGTGTGTTGCTTCAAATTATTAAAAAGGAACTATTTCAATGCTTTTGTCTCTTTGATTATAGATAGCATAAACATATGCGTATTATTTTCATAAACGATGTGTACATTTGTTTTCAAAAAAAATTTTTTTTTTATTAGCTTAACAAAGGCTGTTACTCGTTGTTGCTTTCTGGAATATTCGTGGTGGTAGAGAAGTATAAATTTTAATATCTTAGTTTTGTACGAAGATTCAACACGCATACAGATAAAAGGAGATAGTGTTATATTTATAAGAGACCAAGATTTTTCAATGAAAAATCCCTGAAAAGGGGGGAAAACCATATGACCTGGCCTAGCTTAAATGAATCCACTAGTATTTGCAGTTGATTATAAATAAGGCCCTTAATAGGGGGGGTGCCTTGGCTTAATGTAACTAATATACATTATACATAGTGTGTTACATGGTGGAAACATGAAGAATCACTGTTGATGTGTTAATCGATAAGCGACTAAGGCCGGAATGACCATAGTCGGCGGGCGATAGAGGTCGGAAGAACTGTTGTCTATTGACAGATGTCAGAAGAACCGTAGTTGGCCGGTGATGGAGGTCATAAAGACCGTTGCCTAGCAACGGATGTTGGAAGGACCGTAGTCGGTAGGTGACGAAGGTCGGAAGGACTGTAGTCGGCAGGCAACAATGGTCAAAAAGACTGTTGTTTAGTGAATGAGGTAGGAAGGATCGTTGACGGACGGAAGTCTAGTGTCGGGTAGAAATTCGACGATGGGTGGCTGTCCAACATCGGGTAGAAGTCCGACGATGCACAAAAGTCTAGCTATCGGTAAAAGTTCAGCGTCGGGTAGAAGTTCGACGAAAGTTTGGCGTCAGGTAGAAGTTTGACGAAAGTCCAGCGACATGTGAAAGTTCAGCGTCGGGTGGAAGTTCGACGATAGTTTAGCGATGGGCAGAAGTCCGGCGACATGCAAAAGTTCGACGTCGGGTACAAGTCCGACGAAAGTCCAGCTACTGGCAGAAGTCCGGCGTTAGGTAGAAATCCTGCGTCGAGTAGGAGTCTAGAGACATGCGGAAGTCTGACATCAAGTAAAGTTCGGAAACGGGCTAAAGTCTGGCATCGAGTAGAAATCCAGCGACGAGCGGAAGTCCGGTGTCGATCGGTGGCCAGGAGATGGTCAGAAGTATGATAGCAAGAGAACTCTTCCTTCTTTTCTTTCTCTTCTTGCTTTGGCCCTTTCCTCCCCCCTATCCATGAGAAATGAGGGTCTATTTATAGTTTTCTAAGAGTTACATGTCCAATAAATAGGAGGAAGATTAAGGATAAATTGGAAGTTGTTTGACTGGACAGCCGATGTTGAATCCCTTGATCGTGGGCCGTTTATTGAGCATTTGAGTGTCTTAATGATATCAGAATTTGGGACAGCTTTTTATCATTTTTACTAAGGCTTCGTTTGGGACAGTTTTTTTACCATTTTTAAATCAACTTTTTAGTACAAAAAAATTTCTAATTAAAGAAATTTTTATACTAAGAAGCTACTTTAAAAAATAATAAAAAATATGTCTCAAAAAAAACCTAAACCAATCAATCTACTTATGAATAGAGATTGTTGTTTCAATTTTTAGAGGCTTAAAAGTTGTACTGTTGTGCATGTAGTTGGGGCTATTCATGAAGAGACATAGGACCAACTGTAGAAGTTTGAAAAGAAAGAAGGAATGTCTATTGAAATTTACGAGCTTTTTGTTTAACACTGAATTATTATAGGCCAAATGGGATGATGCATAATAAGTCCTTCAATATAAATGGGTTAACGGTACTAAATTTATGTGGCCTAAATGTGTACCATATGTACTAAATTTTTTTAGGTGGAAAAATGAAAGCCAATTTAAAGCATATTTTGAGGGGAAAATTTTGAATAAAGTCTTTTCCTGATTTAAACATTTTTTTTAACATTATTAAAAGCAAGAAATGGAACATGACCATTGATATTTGAACATTTATTTGAGTAAGCATTGGCTTTGAAACAAATTTATCGATCTCAAATATATAAAGTATTCAAATTAGAAAATTTACAATCAACTATGGGATTAACGGAACTATATTGTCGATAAATTTATGATCGAAATGGACATTTTGATCATACAAACTCGGCGATACTAAAACTTCTTCAATTCGAGGACAAAATAGATACATATTAAGTACTTGAAAATAGGACTGCTAAAAAATCTTATCGTTCGCAAACATTTGGTGCTCAGCTCACTTAGAAACTCTTATTTAATTCATTCATTTAGAAAGCAAGCTGATATTGAACAATTATTTTGAGTTTATACTTTTATCATGTTTAATGCAAATAGAGCATTGTTCAATAGAACGTGATAATATATATACAGTTGGTTAGTAGATAAATGTAATCTTTCTATCGTGCTCTACTCGTGTTTGACTCAAATTCAAACGAGCAAAAAACAAACACAATGTTCACAAAAAAATTTAGATACAAGCTGAACATGAACACAAGACAAGCTCGGGCGTTTACACCCCTACTTGAAAGCATAGTTGAAAACTTGGTATGACCATTTGAGCGACTAGGCCTTTTTTTTTTATTCTAAAATGCTTATAACTCAACACCATTGATTTCTAGCCAGTCAAACATCCAAAATTGACAACAAAACTAAATTCATATATCACCCAACAACATTGACATCCATCATCTCCAACAATATTGAAACCTTCAATTCCCAACAAAGCTAACGTCGACCATCACTAATAACATTGATGTTTGGTATTGCCAATGACGCTGACACATGATGTTGGAAATAATGTTGTTGTTTATCATCACCAACATCGTCAATGTTTGTTATTGACGCCAAGAATGTCGTCCATTGTAACTGCTAAGAAAAGCATAACCGCTATATAACCAACATTGGAGGACTTCATGTCAATAAAATTTTCATCTCTAGAATTTGAATTGTATTTATCAAAATCTTTCATATTTTAATATTCAAAGAGAATTACAGCTCTACCTCAAATCACTTTTTCTTCAGTTGGATCATATAACCTATTATCAAAGTCATCACAACTATAGCCTAAGAAAGTACATTATTTTTTCTATCATGCTCTAGTCGTGTTTGGTTCAAATTCAAACGAACCGAACACAAACACAATGTTCACAAAGAATTTCAGATACAAGCTCAACATGAACACAAGACAAGCTCGGGTCATTTACATCCCAACTTGAAAGAATTGTTGAAAACTTGGTATGACCATTTGAAGGATTAAGCCTTTTTTTATTCTTAAATGCTTATAATTCAATACCATTGATTTCCAGCAAGACAAACATCCAAAATTGCCAACAAAACTAAAGTCATATATCGCCAACAAAATTAAAGTCATATATAGCCTACAACATTGACATCCATCATCGCCAACAATGTTAAAATTTTATATTCTCAACAAAGCTAACGTTCACCATCGCCAATAACGTTGACGTTTGGTATTTCCAATCATGCTAACTCTCAATGTTGCAAAATACGTCGTCATTTATCATCACCAACATCATTAATGTTTGCTATCAACGCTAAGGATGACGCCCATTGTAACTGCTAAGAAAAGCACATGTCACCACTATATAAACAACATTGGAGGAATTCATGTCAATAAATTTTTCATCTCTAGAATTTGATTTTTATTTCTCAAAGTCATTCATACTTTAATATTCAAAGAAAATTTTAGCTTTGCTTAAGATCACTTTTTTCTTTAGTTGGATCTTATAGCCTATTGTCAAAGTCATCGATCATGTCTATAGACCAAGAAAGTACATTATTATTATTTTGCTATTAACTATCTTCTCTCACATCTAGGAAAGTAAATTTAATGTCTTTCATCAAATAGTCTCCTTGATTGTAATGTGTATTCTTTTAGATGCAAGTGTATTGAGGGGTATCTTCTCAAGATTTGTACCCTTCTTCATCGCAATAGTTTTTAAATCGAACATTATATTCACCACCATTATCTATGCCCAT